AGTACGTACATTTTATTAGTCTACCCCCTTTTTTCATAAAAATTAAAATAATTATGTTTTAAATAAAATTAAATATTTACTTAAGGAGTGTGTAGGATAAAGTCAAATTTAAATTTGGTGTATGTTTATAAAGTACGTACTTTGTATAATACCTCCCCCCCTCCCCATCGTACAAAACCGTACATAATAGCAAATCCCCCCCCCCCCCTTCGGGATGTACGTACTTTTTGAATGGCCCCTAAGTTAGTAGCGAGCGAAGCGAGCTTGGTTTGCGAAGCAAACCATATAAGATTGCGTAGCAATTTTCGGGATTTGGCGAGCGTTACCGAGCAGGGGGCGCAGCCCACTAGTGCAATTATAAATGTATTAAGTAGTTTAATACAAACATTTTCGTACCGCCCAAAAATGGATTTACTTAAGGAGTTCACGTAATCCAAAGATAAACTTTATTAAGAACTGGAGTTCTTAATGGCAGAATTTATTTAAAATGTGATAAAATATAAAATAAATGAATAAAAAAATTTTCGAATGAATTTTCAAACTGATGAAAAAAAAAAAACAACTAATAATTTAATTTAAAACATTTCATTAAACAAAATAAAAGTAAACAGAATATTCATTTTTATCAAAATTTTGAACTGGAAATAGTTAATTTCAATTATGGTGGAATAGAACTGTGAGCGCTTTGTAAGAGGAGATTTAGAATGATTGTATGTCAGAGAAAATCTCTTGACAAAATCACCAAAAAATAGAAATTATCAACAAGAGTCTTCCCCTAATTAAGTCCCTAAAAGTCTATTACATCGGTTTTTCTAGAAATTCTAGATAATCGCCTGATTAAGACTATTTATGAATAGATAGCCAACAAAGAGATGTTTCTGTTGATATCCCACATTTTTAAAAGATGACAATTTCAAAATATAAAGGACATTTTCCCATAGCCTAAATTGAGGCGACTATTTTTGAGGTATGAAATGCCTCTCTGTGAGTGGTGTTGAAAATTAAGGGAGGTTTTAGAATCAATCTTTATCAGTTAAGAAAGTAGAGAAAAAGAATGGTACATAGAGCGTTTTATTGCATATTGAAGGAAAGGGTAACAATGTCAATTCTTGTAGATCACTAAACATTTGTTTTATTTTTTTTATGTCAAGCATTTTCTGCATATTTTATTCTTAATTTATTTTCTTTTTATAATATAATAGAATAAGTGGCACTATGTAAAAAAAAGTAGAGAAGAGGAGGAAAAAAAGAGAGTAAAAGATACGGAAACAAAATAGAAATATTTTCTCAAAATAATGGACCCTGGCTCTCCAATAAAGGGGGGGGGGGGTCCGGGCTCCTCGGACACTCGTGGATTAAATACTTCTTATTTTCCTATAAAATCTTCTTACTTAATGTCTATCCACAACACCGAAATATCTATGTAATTTTTCTTATTTTTTTGTTTTATTTAATACTTTTTTTTTAAATCAAATTTCTCGATTTCGTTGACTAAACATTAACGTTATTGAATTAAGATGTATGGTCACTTATGGCATTAAATTATAGATTTTGTCATTAAATTATATATTCATCACGTTTACATCTGGTTAGGTAAAATAGGAACTGAGGAACTGAAAAAATACCTACTCCTTAGTTCGAGTTCAACATGATTTTTCGAAACTCCTTTGCTAACAGAAATTAAAAAAGCCACAGTTCAAGAACCAGTCAACACTTGAAGCACGAAAAGGCACAGTCAACACATGAAGCACAATTATATTTTTAAACTATGTAAGATATCGTATCGTGAAAGATTGTTATAGGCATCAGAACAGACAAATAACTTAAATGCCTTATAAGCTATTAAATTTTTTCAAAAATCCCCATTCTGGCAAAATATTTCCACCTAGATGACCATTGTCAAAATCAATGTCCTGCTCTCTTTTATTTTTCAAATTTTTATAAGCCCAAATAATACAGCATTGGAGTAAATTTTTAAATATTAGAAAATTAAACCACAAATGCTTTTAATTTTGTCATAACTGACTCTTTTCTCCATAATAACGTTCTGCGCCATTTTCAGAATTAACAGAGAGGTCGTTGACTGAAGGTAAACTAAACTTGAACTAACAGTCCTGAGTAATTTTTTCAAATGCACAGTAGTTATGAAAATAGTATATTATTTGCAAGCAAAAAGCATCATTTCAATGAGGCGACAGAACTTTCGAAAAACAGCTGTACGATTTCGAACTAACTTCGAACTCGTGATAATGTTTTTACATATTTATTTACTTCTTTCAATCTAAACATATGCAAAAAATTCAATTTCTTAAATAATTAAGAAAAAAATGTAAAAATTATTCGCCTTACACAATTTAAAAATATAAAGTGCCATGATCTAAAAACAAGTAACATCTTATATTTCCCCGTATTAAAGCGTTGCATTTCTTTTTTTTTTTCTTCTTTTTTTTGAATTAAGAATATTATCTTCCTGGCACATTAAATCTCAGGCTAAGGGAAAGAAATAAAAACTTACTGATAATGTTCTTGAGTTCGGATTAAAAGTATACTCTGTAAAAAATTCCGGATCAAATTCCAGCAATAAGTACCAGCACTTTGGCTACAGCATGCACAAATTCCAGGTTAGCGTAAAATCCATTTTTACCGTAAAATATTATACCGTAATTTTTACGCTAATATTTATTTAATTAGAGTGATTCAGAGACTTTACTGTAATTATTACAGTAAAAATTATGTTATATCAGATTTTCAGTTTCGTAATAAGTTTCCCGTAATTAAATTATGAGGTGATATACACTGCCGTTCTTATTGCAAACTCAGTGTAAAAAATTCAGCATCAAGTTACGCTAAGAAATACCGACATTCAGGTTCAAAAAATCTGATATACAGTAATTTTTACAGTAATAATTATCGTAAAATCACTACATCACTCTACTTAAATAAATATTACTGTAAAAATCACGGTATAATATCTTAAGGTAAAAATGAATTTTACAGATGATGTAAAATTCATTTTTCGGTGCCGGGTAATTAACGCGGAATGAGTGCAAAATCAAATTAACAAATCAGATGAGCTTCGTGCAGACGATAAATGAAGTTTAGCATGTTAAAATCATGAATATATTTATTATCTCATGAAGAAAAAAAAATCTGTTATAGGAACGACTTCAAATAAATAGAAATGAATTAAATAAAATTAAAAAAAAAAACGAAATAAAAACGACCTTTATCATATTTTTTATAAAATGGAATTGTTACGTTGACTTACAATTTCTTCATAGACATGCCAGAAACGAAATATTATTTATAACCAGGTGACCTTAAGCAAAACTAACAAATCATAACAACAGAATGAACAATTGAAAAAAATCAGCGAGCGAACATCGCGCAATGAGTAATTTGTATTCATAAATGATACTTACAAATACCGTTATGGCAAAGTCGTTTATGTTTGACGAAACAGATAACTCTTTTTGTTGATCTTTCGTTGTTTCAAAGCATAACCTGCACAAAAGAAATAAAAATATATTAAAATGAAAAAGATTTTTAGAACAATGAAGGATGTAGTATTGTTTATCATATCAGTTGGAAGATATTTAGCATTAGAAAGGTGGCAACATGTATGCAATTATTCATCCATCTTTAAAAAACGATATATTTTGTAAAGAATTTTTTTTATTTGAGTATTGATTAAAGTGTGCAGATAAAAAAAAATTCTTATTTCAAATAAAGAACAATTAAGTTCGAGATCTGCAAGTCAATTAATTTTTATTTGCTTAAAAAATAACATTTGAATAGAAATTATCTTCTGACAAAATATTCAAAGCATTTCAATATGAAAAGAACTAGAAATGAAGAAATATTTTTATATGAGTGTAAATATTTGTTTATCTATAATTAACTAGTAGAATGCATTAATATAATCCAATTAATTTATTTAAAACCTTAAGGTAAACAGTAAATAATTTTAATAAGTAAATATAGTTAATTGAAATAAATCATGAAACAATGATTTAATGTTTTTAAACTGATAGAGGAAAGAATTTTAATTAGATTAAAATAGTTAATTGTGAAGCAATTTTGTATTACTACACATTTATGTCCTAATCAAAAAGTTTTTATGAAAGAAAATATAAAATTGGGTCCATAGTTTCAATTATGCTCACATAAATAATACCAAAAAGGTTTTCTCGCTTTTAACAATTTGTACTGGATACATATTAGTGGGTTAATTTTATTAAATGGCATATAAAAAATAATAAAATAAAAATAAAAAAGTTAATAAAAATAATAAAATTAATAAAAATAATAAATTAATAAAATTAATAAAAATAATAAAATTAATAAAAATAATAAAATTAATAAAAATAATGAAATTCTAAGAATTGTACTATATTCTATTTAATATTGCTTGAAATAAAACTAAAATCAACAATAGAGAAGCGATTTCGAGAAAGTAAAATCATGCAATCATGGGCTTCGCTGCTCCTCTCAATAATAAGAAATCTCTAAAAGTCCCTCTTAATTTTTCAAACGAATACAGAAAATTTTGGCGAATTATTATAGATTTACATTCCTTAAAGTAAATAAAAAAAGAGATTAAAATAATTCAACTTTTTGATGGCATTCAGCACATTCGAGAATTTTCTTAACTTATGTGTGAAATTTGGAAAACTATTGTGACAGTGTAGTTTAATTTCGTCCTCTTCAGAAATTGGGCCCCTGGGAAGCCCATGCATGTAATTGTTAGAAACTGTTCTATTCGAAATGGTATGGTACTGTTAATTCATGATATTCTAACATTTACTTTAATTCTTTTAAAATTAACTGTTTTCTGGAAATTCGAACTGATATGTCAATATAACTTTGAAAGTTTTTAAAACCACTTGTTCACAAAATACTTTTTATTTGTGTCTTATATCCCCAAATATAAGCGTACAATAAATCAAAGAAATGTAAGTGTATTAAAAAAAGAAAGAAAAAAAAATCGAGAAAAACTGGTATAGTAAAATACATGTAATACTAATAATTACAATTATGTAAGGTACATTCAATATAAAATATTAATGATTCTCTTATGTACTTTTTTTTTTATCATTGAAGATTTCAGGGTATTGTTTGTTAAAATAGCTCACAATTCATCATAATTTAAATAGAAATAGTGATTATATAGTGATTATATTAAATAGAAATAGTGATTAAATAGAAATATTGCTTATATTATGATTAAATAGAAATAGTTATTATTATAGAAATAGTGATTATATTATGACTAAATAGAAATAGTTATTATAATAAAAATAGTGATTATAATAGAAATAGTGATTATATCATGATTAAATAGAAATAGTGATTATAATAGAAATAGTGATTATATTTTATAGTGATTATATAATTTAAATAGAATTGTGATTTTATAGAAATAGTGATTAGAATGTTTTGCACTTATGTGATCCGTATTTATAATTATTTTGTTTAAATAAAAATGTTTTTCATTTGTTTTTTATTTTTTCATTTTTATTTATTTTTAGAAAGATAGCCCGCAAATCAGGTATACTTTTTATTCTCATAAGCTCTTAAAAAAAAAGTTAAGCAACAAAATATGCACTTATTAATATACATATAGTTTCTTTAAGGGTGTTAAGGTACTCTTATAACAATAAATGTGCCAACAATGAAAACAAAAAAAATTCTAAACGCATGATGAAAGGGAAAAAAGTATCCTCTTTACTCCTCATAACATCATCCTCTCAATTATCCAAAACACGAAAAGAGCTAAAACAATAAAAAGATAGATTGTAGTAAGACAGGTAAAAAAAGAGACGACATTACAGAGTTGAAAAGGAGAAAGTTGTCTCTGTCGGGAAACGACACTGTGTTGACACACTGACGAGTGAATTGTTCCATCATCATAAGTACCCCAGTAAAGGGGAGAAGCTTTTCGGACCACAAAGGAAAAGAAGGAAGAAAACGATGCAATTTGTAAGGTCAGGCACCCTTGGAGACGACCTTGAGATATTTCATTGCCAACAGGTGGTGTGTATGCCTTGCGGGTTGGCAAAAATATTTTGGCTGGTCTAGTTCTATTTTGATTTTCGTTTTCTTTCTTTCTTTCTTTTTTCCTTTTTATTCATTATTATTGGTTTATGTCTCGGGCTGTAGGTTAATGTGTGTGTTCAATATTTTTCCTTGTTGCTGTTTTAATTTACAGAGTCTATAAGAAAAGCAAAGACTATTTTTTAAATAGTGAATGTATTTAACAGTGAATTTAAGAGCCGTGGTGGCACAGCTGTTAGAGCGTTCGCCTTTCCATGAAGTGAACCGGGTTCGAATCCCAGCGATGACTTTTTGATTTAAATTCCACACCGGTCTTGCACCGACCACAGTGTTGATGTAAAATATCTTCAGTTGTATACGGAGTTCAGTTGTATATTCCCTTGCAGTGAGGTTAACAGTGGGAGGTTTTCGTGGTTTTCCTCTCTAAGTGAAGCAAATACCAGTAATTGCCATCAAAAATTCCCTCATGGCGATAATTTTCTACCAATTTTTGATCCAGGATTCACTTGTGTTCTGAATTGGGTTCAAAATTACGAGGCTACGGAGTTGAATATTAGCTGTCGTAAACCCCAAAAAACTGGGTCGGCTGTTCAACGATGGTTATAAAATAAAATAAAATAAAATAATGAATATGAGTAGTGGTGGCTCAGGGGATAGAGCGCTCGCCTCCCAAGGAGGTAACTCGGGCTCGAATCCCAGCGAGAGTTGGTCGTTACGAATTCCGCACCCGGCTTGCACCGACGACAGTGTTGACGTAAAATGTCCTCAATTGTTTACGGAACATGGATTAAAGTCCCCTTGCCGTCAGTGACAGGTTTTCTCGGTTTTCCTCTCCATGTAACGCAAATGCGGGTGTGTTCCACCAAAAAGCCTGGCAAATTTCTTCCAATACTTGATCCAGGAGTTCCCTTGTCTTCTGGATTAGGTTTAAAATTACTAGGCTACGGAGTTGAGCATGGGTAGCTGTCAACTCAAAATTGGGACAGCTGTTCCACGATGGCTATAAAATTATAAAGTAGTGATTATCAGAATCAGAAGAATTCTTTTTATACATCTTAAAAAAAAATTAGTGAAATATTTGCCATTTTTATATGATATGGTTTTAATACTTCGAAATAAATTCATTAAATAACTCACAAACTCACAATTGCAAAAAATAAATTGAAATGTGAATGGAATAACTTTAAAAAAAATATTATTAAATTTATCACTTTTTTTCTACAATTGTAAATGTTAGAATACTGTTTCTTTTTTACGTTTCGGTGATCGTCAGTGATTGAAAATATTTTTTATGTGATGTTTAGTTATAATTTACGATGTGATTTTTTTATGTTGTGATTTATTATGTGGTCAATAAACGTGGTTTAAAAAAAGCTAGTTTTTTTAAGGCAATTTTGAGTAACTGTAAAACTTCTGTAAGCGCTAAATCTAATACTTTGAGCATTTTAATACTATCTTACTTAAATTACAGTAAAATATTAATTTTAATAAATAAATGCTGTGCGCTGGTAAGAAATTAATTTTGATAAGTGTACAAAATTGTCTAAATTGTTTATTGAGAAACAACAATGTAAAAAATTACGGATCAAATTACGACACTAAGGGTATCGGTACTTATTACCGTAAAATTCATATTTATCTGATATACCGTAACGTAAAATTAAAAAATAAAAAAAAAAAATTATATACCGTAATTTTTATAGTAATAGTTATAGTAAAATCACTGAATCACTCTAATTACATAAATATTACTGTAAAAGTTACGATATAGTATTTTACAGTAAAATAGATTTAACAGAGAAATTGATTTTGAGAATGATGCACCCAAAGTGCCGGTACTTTATACCATAATTTGATACGCAATTTTTTTCAGTGAATGTTTGAAAGCTGCGTCACAATTTGAAGCTGCAACTTGGTACAAAAGAGAAACTGTTTACTGTTGTTATTAGTATATATTTGTATGTTAAATTAATAGGATAACTAAATTAATTTTTAAACATTGGGCAGAAAAATTGCCCTCCCCCCCCCGACCCTACAAGGTTAGAAATTTTGAAGCGGAATTAACCATAATATCGTTCAAATTAGTTTCAACTTTATCTTTATCTAATCAACTTTAATCCTATGTTTATCCATACTTCCTAAATTTCATTATACGATACTATGGTTGAATTTTATCATATGATCAATTTTATACCTTAAAAGACTCTAAAAAATTTGCACCGTTTTAAGGTTCTACCTACCAATATTACGGTTCAACGTTTTATTAATTTTTCTAACAGTGAAAGAGGATTAAAAAAGAAACATCAGGGCAAGATTAATTCACAGCAGCGGGAGACTTAGATAAAAAGCTATTATGATTAATGGAACTGTTTATCATGATTTAAAGAAAATACCTTTACCACATTTATCGAAATATTTTTTAAACTACAAATAAAGATGAAAATTTTATTAAG